CAAGTATAGCAGGGATTGTGGGGCTGGCGCGGGATCGGGCAGTGTTTCGTTCTGCTGTGCATGGGGTCGCTATGAGTCGGAAACGACTCGACGGCATTTAACAACAACACCACCACCACCACTTTGGTCATGTTGTCAGAAAGGCCCATTCCCTGGAGAAGGAGATCATGCTTGGAAAAGAGAAGGGTCAGCAAAAAAAGGGAAGACCTCCAATGAGATGGATTGACACAGTGGCTGCAACGAAGGGCTCCAGTATAGCAAGGACTGTGAGGATGGTGCACCACAGAGCAGTGTTTTCTTCAGGGTCTCTATGAGTCAGTGTACTTCATTATACCAACATAATTGCACGACACATTTCCTGGAGATAAATCTTTCTCTCTCTAAGCTTCAGTGTTTTTGCTTCTCTAGAGAACCCAGCCTAAGACAGAGGGGTACAGGGACTTGCTCTGAGTAGTGTGAAGAATAGGGCATGACCACGTCTGGGGTTGTGGAGCACTTGCCCTTCCCAGGAGCGTCTGAAGGGGGAGTCATCACCCCGTTCTGAAGAGCTGAAGACTGTGGCTGGCAGAAAGTCACATCTAAAGGTTCTAAACTGAACTGTCTTGCAGGTGTCCTAATGATGGTGGGCAGCTTGAACCCACCACCCCCTCCATAGGAGAAAGATGTGGCAGTCGGCTTCCAAGGATACAGTCTTGGAAACCCTACGCGGCAGTTCAACTGTATCCTTCGAGTCCAAATGGACTCCATCGCACGGGGTTGTTTTTTTTTTTGTTGTTCGTTTGTTTTTTGGTTTAGGCCCAATTCTGTGGGAGATAAGTCCTTTCACTTAAAAAATGAAAAACCAAAAAACTAAATTCACTGCCATCAAATCAGATCCGACTCATAGCGACCCCTCCTTGGGTTTCCGAGGCAATATCTCTAGGGAAGTAGATTACCCAATCTTCCAACCGAGGACTGGCTGGTGGGTTTGAACCGCCAGCCTCCTGGTTAGCGATCAAATGCCTTAGGAGGCACTACGCCACCAGAGCGCCAAAAAAAGAAAGAAAGAAAAAAAAAAAAAGGCCCACCTAATTGGACGCACCTTGGCGGTCACTTAGGGACCGGGCCCGAAAGGCGTGGCCGACACCAAAAGCGTACGGGTTATTGGCTGTATTCTCTTAGGTGTACGCCCCCAGCCGTCCAGTCGTAGGAGGGCCGCTTTTCGAGATCTAACGCTCGTCTGCTGAATAAAGAGGGTGCCCTTTGAGGCAAAGAGGTCTCAGTATCGGAATTCCTCCACTTGGTGGGGACGAGACCCAATGGGAAGAGGCCTTCGGAGGGCGGAGCTTCTTGTTTGGGGTCGCATTCCTAGGTCTTGCAAATTGTCCTTTATACCCCAAAAGAAAACTGTCGTCTAGGGAGTAGTCCTGCTGCGAAGGTGGAGTCGCTACCCTCAGTCTTGCGCGCCCGGCATCCAGCAGCGAATCCTAGTGGGGCGGGCCGTGTCGCGTGCATGACGTCATCGTGGGGCGCCGAGTGAGGCCGGAGCAGCTGGCCCTCTCGTGGTACTAGGAGCGGTGGGGCTATGCTGCAGCTAGTCCGGGTCGCTGTGCGGGCTTGGGCTCGGCCCGCCGGCTGCCGGGTGAGGCCAGAAGCCGGGGGTGGGATAGGAGGACAAGGATCGGGGGAGTCCGAGGGCACTCCTCACTCTTAGGCACTGTTTCCAGGCCCTGAACTCGCTGGCAGAAGAGGCAGCGCCGCAAGCGGTGGAGCAGGTGCCGGTGGCGAGCGCAGGTGAGGCTGCCGGCGTCGCCCAAGGAAGGGCAGCGGTGGAGAGCGCTGACCTGTGACCTCAACTCTGACCTCCCAATCTCTCTAGGTCCCCCAGCTCCCGCGCTGCGCATGTGCGAACTCCCACTGCCCGCGCATCGGCCCCCGGTGCAGGCCTGGGTGGAGTCCCTGCGAGGCTTCGATCAGGAGCGCGTGGGTCTGGCGGAGCTGCACCCCGACGTCTTCGCCACGGCGCCTAGGTGAGCACGCACTGGGTGCTGGGGCTATAAGGGTGAACTGAGTGTCAGGGAGTGGAGGATTCAGAAGTTAGGAGGGAAAGTGCTCCGTCTGTAGAACCTCAGTTTCTCCATCTGTCAAAGAAGGGTGATGGTGCCCCTGCCTCAGAGTTGTGAGGTTGAGGGTTGAGACGTAACCTCCTCTAGTAGTTAAGGGCGCCAAATTCTGGAGCACGACCTGTTACTGTGTGCCGTCCAACGGATTCCCACTCATATTAACCCTATAGAACAGAGTAGAACTGTCTGGAAAATCCTGTGGGGCACTTCTAGCCTGTTCCATAGGTCGCTATGAGTCAGAATCCCCTGAGGGCACACAGCAGTTTTGTTTTGTTTTGTTGTGATTTGGGTGAAAGTTTACAGAGCAAATTCACTTCCATACAGCAGTTCACATATACTTTGTCTCATGACATTGACTACAATTTACGCCAATGCAGCAGCTCCAACTTCCTCCCGATAGTTACCTCTTCCCTGTGTCCATCCCTCCATGCACTCCTGCCTCCTGAGCTGTCTCCCTGTGCAAAAACAGCCCTTCTTTCTCCCGTGGTTCCTCTCTCCAAAGAGTGTATCTACCTCAGGTAAATGTTCAACTCCTATGCTTGTCTTTTGTTTGGCTGGAAGCCACAGGTATAGGTTCAATTCCAGACCTGAAGGGCAGCTAGGGGCCATAGTCTCAGTGTTCCACCAGGTTCTGTCAGAGCAGCAACCTAGTGCCTTTTTTTTTCCCACCACAAATGATTTTGAGTTTTGTTCCACATTGTTCTCCCTCTCTATCCAGGATGTCCTACATAGATCCCCCTCCAAGTGGTTGATAGTAGTAGCTGAGCACCATCTAATTCTCCTAGTCTCATAGTCGTATAGGCTGTGGATCGCATGGTGTACCAGTCACTTGGACTAATTGTTTCCATGAATCTTTGGTTTTCTTCATTCTTCTTTGCTCTGGACGAGGAGAAACCCATCGTTGCATCTATATGGCTGCTTGCAAACTTTTAAGATCCCAGTCGCTACTCACCAAAGTAGGAGGTGGAACAATGTTTTGTGCAGTATGTTATGCCAGTTGAGCTTGATGTCCCCTGCGACTGTGGTCCCAAGCCCACAGGTTCAACTGCTCGGTCCCTCTGGGTAGCTGGCTGTGGCCAAGAAGTGACTACAACCTTGCCCCTTGTCAGTTCTACTACACACCTGGGAACTCTTACAGAACATACAAATACACTTATAGAACCATTGTCTGCCAACCCTATACATGGTCTTGGGTACATTCCCCTCTGCATAGACATACCTAATAGTTCAGCCTGTCTACTCATCTATCCACCTCTATGCCTATGTTTGCCTTCACTGACAATGCAGTACTGTGTGTGCAAAAGGGTTCACCTTTGTTGTCTGCACCGCCCATGTACCTCTCTCTGTGTCTTCTTCCTCAATGTCACTATGTTGATCACTCACATTTGGTACATTGCCCTTCTCTTCACCCAAATCAACTTATCTCTACCTATCTAACAGTATTCCCTCTCCTTCCCTCCTGCCCCGGTAACCAAAAAGAAAATTTCCTTCCATAGATAAACCTTTCCTTGACTTTTACAATAATGGACTAATACAATATTTGTCCTGTGATTGACTTATTTCACTCAGCATAATGCCCTCCAATTTCATTCACGTTATGCAGTGTTTTGCAGATTCTATGTTATTCTTTAGTATAGAATATGTATTCCATTGTGTGTTTGGTTAGTTTGGTTATCTATTCCTCAGTTGATGGACACCTAGGTCGTTTCCATCTTTTGACTATTGAGAATAGTGCTGCAGTGAACATGGGTGTACATATGTCTGTGCTTGTCATGGCTCTCACTTCTTTAAGATATATACCTAGTAATGGAATGGCTGGGTCAAATGGTATTTCTGATTCCAACTTTTTAAGGACTTGCCATACTGCTTTCCACAATGGTTGCACCATCTTAGAGTCCCACCAACAGTGTATAAGAGTCCCATTCTCTCCACAACCTTGCCAGCATTTGTTATTTTCTGCCTTGTTGAACTTTGCTACTAGTGCTGGGGCCAGGTGGTATCTCATTGTTGTTTTGATTTGCTGCACAGCAGTTTTTAAGGGAGTTCACAGCCAAGTCTTTTCTCCTGCAGAACAACTGGTGAGTTCCAGCCTCAGACTTTTTTGGTGAGTGGCCTTGCGCTAACCATTGCGCCACCAGGGCTTCTTGGGAGCTAGACCTACTGAGTTCAAATCCTGCTTTCCCCTTTTGTGCTTTAGTGTCTTCATTCTCAAGCGATCACTGTGATTATCAAATAAGTTAATTCTAGCAGATTAATTCTATGAAAATGTTTAATATTGTTACATTTATCTTTTTTTTTTTTTAAAAATAAAAATGAGAACTAACAATGACTAAAGGGTCCTAGGTGGTGCAGACAATGTGCATTCCACTGCGAAACCTAAAAAAATGAGCTCTGGTGGCATGATGCCTACAGCCTTTGACCGCTAACCAGATGGTGGGCAGTTCAAATCTACCAGCCACTCTGCAGAAGGAAGGCGGGGCACTCTACTTCCATAAAGATTTACTTGGAAACCCAATGGGGGTCACTAAGAGTCAGAATCGATTCGATGGCAGTGGGTTTGGTTTTTGCTAACCTAAAGGTTGGTGGTTCAAATCCACACAGTGGAAGAACAGGTCTGGTGATCTGCTTCCATTAAGATTACAGCCAAGAATGGAACATGAGCCTCCATGGCCCTGCAATCAAAAGAACTAGATGGTGCCCAGCTAGTACTGCTGACTGTTCTGACAGGGATAACAACGAGAGGTTCTAGATAGAGTGGGAGAAAAATATGGGACAAAATTCTAAATAATAAAAAGTCCAGGCTTACTGGACTGGTGAACCCCCAAGACTGTGGCCCTTACATACCCTTCAAGCCTGGAACCAAACTCACCCCCATGGCTCAGCTTTCAGTCAAACAGTAGACAGGCCTAGGTACTCACTCATTACAACAGTCAACTACACAGGATCAAAGGGGCAGCATTTGCCCGGGAATAAAGCTCAGAAGGCAGGAAAGGGGGCAAAATGGAAGTGGTAAACACAGGGAGGAAGTAGAAAGAATATTGTTATAGTGTGGGGATTGTAGTCAGTGTCCTGAACTGAAATGTGTATGAATTGTTAAATGGAAAACCATTTTACTCTAAGTTTTCACTCAAATCACAATAAAAAATTTAAAAAAAAAAAAAAAAACCTATGGGGTAGTTCTTCTCTGTAATGCCTGGAGTTGCCAAGAGGCAGAATCAAAAAGAATTGGTCGAAGTTTGACCATTTCAGGAGGTAGCATATGATCAAGAACCAATCATGCAGAAGGAAGAAGTACAAGGGGAACTGAAGGTATTGACAAAAAAACAAGGTTCCAGGAATTGATGGAATACCTACTGAGATATTTCAACAGATATAGCACTGGAGGTGCTCATTCCTCGATGCAAAGAAATTTGGAAGATGCTACCTGGCCAGCTGATTGGAAGTGATCCATGTATGTGCTCATTCCAAAGAAAGATGATCCAACAGAATGAGGAAATTATTGAACAATATCATTAATATCACATGCAAATAAAATTTTGCTGAAGATAATTAAAAAACAGTTACGGCAATACATCAACCGGGAAGTGCCAGAAATTCAAGCCAGATTTGGAAGAGGATGTGGAATGAGGAATATCATTTGCTGATGTCAGATGGCTTTTGGCTGAAAGCAGAGAATACCAGAAAGATGTTTACTTGTGTTTTATAGACTGCAAAGACATTTGATTGTGTGGTTCATAACAAATTACAGATAATGTGTAGAACACTGTGCTCATGAGGAACATGTACCTAGACCAGGAGGCAATCATTCAGACAGAACAAAGGGATACTGCTTGGTTTAAAATCAGGAAGGGTGTATATCAGGGTTGTATCCTTTCACCACATTTATTCAATCTGTATGCTGAGCAAATAATCCAAGAAATGACTATATGAAGAAGAACCTAACATCAAGATTGGAGGAAGGCTCATTAACAATATACTATATGCAGATGGCACAACCTTGTTTGCTGACAGTAAAGAAGACCTTAAGTACTTGCTAAGGAAGATCGAAGACTACAGCTTTCACTATGGATTAAACCTCAACATGAAACAGAAATCTTCACAACTGGACCAATAAACAACATTATGATAAACAGGGAAAAGATTGAAGTTCTCAAGAATTTCATTTTTCTTGGATCCACAATCAACACCTATGGAAGCAGCAGTCAATAAATCAAACAATGTATTACATTGAGCAAATTTGCTGCAAAAGACCTCTTCAGAGTTTAACACTTTGACCCAAGCCATGATACCTTCTGTTGCTTCATGCGCATGTGAAAGCTGGAAAGCCAAAGAAGGATTAATGCCTTTGAAATATGATATTGGTGAAGAATATTGAATATACCGTGGACTGCCAGAAAAGCGGACAAATCTGTGTTGGAAAAATACAGCCAGAAAGTTCCTTAGAAATGAGGATGGGGTGACTTGTCTCACATACTTTGGTCACGTTGTCAGGAGGGACCAAGCCGTGGAGAAAGATACCGTGGTTGGTAAAGTGGAGGTCAGCGAAAAAGAGGAGGACCCTCAATGAGATGCATGGACACAGTGGCTGCAACAGTGGGCTCAGGCATAACAAGGTTGTGAGGATGGACAGGACTGGGCAGGGTTTTCTTCTGTTGTGCATAGAGTGTGAGTCAGAACTGACTTGAAGGCACGTAACGACAGTCTTTAAAGGAGCAGCCTGCCACATCTTTCTCTTGTGGAGTGGCTGGTGGGTTCAAACCAAGAACCCTTCAATTAGCAGCTAAGTGCTTAACTACTGTGCCACCCGGTCTATGTGCCTACCCACTACCCACTGCCATCAAATCGATTCTGACTCATAGCAACCCCCATCGGGTTTCCAAGGCTGTGAATCTTTACAGAAGTAGATTACCTCATCTTCCTTCTGCGGAGCAGCTGGTGGGTTTGAACCACTGACCTTCTGGTTAGCAGCCAAATGTCTTACCCACTATGCCACCAGAACTCCTTGGTCTGTGTACCTAGCACAGCCCGTTTACATTTTAGTTAACTGGATCCTCATAGAAGGGGCTCTTTTCCTTAGTTTGAAGATAAAGAAACAGAGGCACATACAGGTTAAGTAACTTACCCAACGTCACACAGTTTTTAAGTGATAGAATGATGATCACAACCCATGCAAGCCAACTCCAAGGTCAGGTTTGCTGAGGTGTGTCATGTTTCTGATGTGCATGGTGTCTGGCACATATGGTAAGTCCTATTAACTTATTACTCTTACTGGTATGGTTTGGTCCCTACCTTAACAGAGTTCCAGTCTGATGTTGTTAGCTGCCGTCTGGTCAGCCCAAGTCCTGGCGACCCCATGCACAGTTGAATGAAACACTGCCCAGTGTTGCGTCAGCCCCATGACTGGTTGCAGACCCAACCATTTGACCCATCGGCTGATTTTCAGAAGTAGATCACCAGGCCTTTCTTCCTAGTCTCTTTTAGACTGCAAGCTCTGCTGAAACCTGTTGACTATATGAAGAAGAACCTAACATAGCATAGCAACACACAAAACTCAATGTGATAGCTGCACGTGAGATGCTTTGGGTGGTAACTGAACCTGGGTCTCGTGCGTGGAAGGCAAGAATTCTACCATTGCAAAAAAAAGGGGACCAGGTTTGCTGGTCTGATAGAGCCTGGTGGAACCACTGAAGACTATGGCCCCTAGCTGCCCTTCAGGTCTGGAATTGAACCCACACCTGTGGCCTTCTGCCAAACAAAAGACAAACATATGCATAGTTGAACATGTACCTGAGGTAGATACACTCCTTGGAGAGAACAGTCATGGAACAATGAGAACAATTATGCACAGGGAGACAGTTCAGGGGACAGGAGGGCATGGAGGGATGGACACAGGGAAGAGGTAACTATTGGGAGGAAGTGGGAGGGGAGCTGTTGCATTGGAGTAAATTGTAGTCAATGTCATGAGACAACGTGTGTGTGAACTGCTGTATGGAAAGTGAATTTGTTCTGTAAACTTTCACCCAAATCACAATTTAAAAAAAAAAAAAAAAGAATTCTACCATTGCCCCACCAATGGCACCTTCTAATTATAATATGTTGTTGTTATGTGCTGTTGAATCAGACCTGACTCATAGCGACCCCTCCTTGGGTTGCTGAGGCAGTATCACTATGGAAGTAGATTGCCCCACCTTCCTTCCAAGGAGTGGCTGGTGGGTTTGAACCGCCAGCCTTCTGGTTAGCAGTCAGGTGCCTTAGCCACTATGCTACCAGAGCTCCCCTCTAATTATAATAGGGCATGACAAAATAGATAAAAATACACTGTATTTTGTTTATTCCATAAATGTTTACAAAGCACCTGCTTTGTGCCAAGTCCCATTCAAGGCCCAGTTCCAGGTGTCAGGAATACTGTATTCAGTGAGCACCAGCATGGCTCGTGTTGCTTACAGTCTGGAGCAGGGTCAGCAGCCTTTTCTATAAAGGACCAGACAATAAATATTTAGGCTTTGCAGGCCATGACGGGGAGCTCTGGTAGCATAGTGCCTAAAGCACTTGACTGCTAACCAGAAGGCTGGTGGTTCAAACCCACTAGCCACTCCTCAGAAGGAAGGTTGGGCAATCTTATTTCCATAGTGATACTGCCTCAGCAACCCAAGGAGGGGTCGCTATGAGTCGGGTCCGACTCAGTGGTACATAACAACAACAACAACAACAGGCCGTGATGTTTCTCTGTCACAAGTACTCGTCTCTGCCCCCATAATGCAAAAGCAGCCATAAGGGGGAAAACAAAACCGCTTATCACCATGGAGTCATAGACAGTACAGAAATGAATGCACATGACTTTATCAGGCCAATAAAACCTTAAGTAAAGCTCTATTTGTAAAAAGTCAGTAGGCTGGACTGGCCTGTGAGTTGGCAAACTACTCCGGCAGTAGTGTCCAACGGAGCTCCATGATGGGAGCCACGTGTGGAGTTTTAAACTTTCTAGTAGCCACATTTTAAAAAGCAGAAAGAAACAGGTGGAGTTAATTTTAATAATGTGTCTATTGAGACCAGTGTATCTAAAATACTGTTATTTGGTATGTGGTACCGGCTGCATTTCAGGTGTTCAGTGGCCACATGTGACCAGTGTTCACCATGTTGAACAGCACAGAACTAGAGAGGCAAACCAGTCCGTGAGGAAGGTGATAATAAGTAAGCTGTGATGGTAGGGAAGAATAAAGGTACCATGAGGAGGAGGCAGGAGGATTCTCACAGAGAGATTGAGATGAAATCTGTAGGCTGAGAAGGAACCAGCCAGCAAGTACAAAGGCCCTGGGGCTGGACAACGTCCCCCACAGACAGTGGAAGAGCCTGGGTCTCTTCAGTAGGTGCAGAGCTATGGGAGGGTTTTAAGCGGAGGCAGGGCTTCCTCTCATGTCTCCACCTTCCGCACAGGTTGGACGTCCTGCACCAAGTCGCCATCTGGCAGAGGAACTTTAGGAGAATCGTGAGTGCCCTGAATGGGCAAGGTGGGAGGAAGGAGCTTTCTGCAGGGTGGAGGGGGCTGGAGGCAGAGTAAGCCTCCTGGTGTGTCTGCTCTGTGCTGCTCAGCCCGGGGTCTCATCTCTGTCCTGGACCAGTCACTGATGAGTCATTGCCAGGTATTTTCTGAGCACCTACTGCTGTGGGCCTTGTGCTAGGTGAGAGGCAGTGGGTGAGACTGAGGAGAACTCTGCCCTCAGGCTCTTAGGCTATTGGGAGAGTTGAGGAGAAATCAAGTAGTCATGCCTGTAAATCTGTCCTGGCAGGAAATTGTCCCGCCTCCCGTCTCTCCTGGGCCACCCTTCACACAGCAGCCAGTGCAATCTTCCTAAACATCCCAGTTCCCTTGGCCTGTGCATGAAGTCTGAACTCTGCCTCACCATTTAAGGTCCTGGCAGGTGCAGATGCCACACTCTCTGTAACCAGACTGAGCTGACTAGAGTCTTTCTCATTTGCCTGGCCAACTTCCCTTATCCTTCAAGTATCTGTTTGGGCCATGCCTCTTCCAGGAAGCTCTCCCTGAGTTCCTGTGGGTCCTACACAGCACCTTGTGCTCCTCACACCATTTAGCCTCACATCTGCAAATAGGAGCTGATGGGACTGAGATGAGGGTAGAGGGAACCATATGTGCAAAGGCCCTGTGATAGAGACCAAAAGGAGCCCACCATGGTTATAGAGGTCAGTGGGAGAACAGCGAGGAATTTGGATTTTATGCCAAGAGGTTGAAGAAGCTAGTATCAACCTCTGCCTTCTGTCTGCCCACCCCAGAGGCCCAGCATGGCCTCCCCTCTCTGCTAACCTCCTTGGCTCCCCACTACCCTTGGAATAAAGTCCTCAGCCCAGGATTTGAAGCTCCTCATGAGCCTCCCTGACACACACCTGTCTTGGATTCCCTCTGGCCACCTCTTTCCCGTGCCCTGCCTTCCTTTCCACTGCAGCCACATTAGAATCATTCAAAAACACTGAGCAGCTATAGTTCGCCAGGCGGCAGAGCCCTGCCTTTGTGAGGCTGACATGTAGAGTGTAGGGGATCCTCTAATTCCTTTGTCTCCCCATTCGCCGTGCCTTGGGTCTGGCTTCCTGCAGGATGGATCGGTTTGTCTGACTCAGTGCTGTGTCCCTGGGCCTGGCACCCCATAGCTGCTTGACAGCATCTGCCTGGCAGACATGGCCCCCTCCTTGCTTTGCACCCACAGAGCTATGCCAAGACCAAGACTAGGGCCGAGGTGCAGGGCGGTGGCCGGAAGCCCTGGCCGCAGAAAGGCAGTGGGCGTGCCCGGCATGGCAGCATCCGCTCCCCGATCTGGCGAGGAGGTAAGCGGGCAGGGCAGGGGGCGCTGTGGGCAGCATCTGGGGGTTTCTTCACACACAGCTGCCCACATCTGGAGCCTGGGATACCTTGTCAGCCCCATTTCCCTACCTCCTCAGCCCAGCCAGGCAAGGGCATCAGGACCCAGGCCCACAGACGTCACTGCCTCCCTCCCCTACAGCTCGGGCCTCAGCCTTTCTCAGCAGACCATGGCGATAGCCCCTGTGGGCTCCCACCTCCCATCTCTCCTGGGCCACCCTTCACACAGCAGCCAGAGACATTTTGCTAAACGTCCCAGCTCCCCATGGACTTTGCATGAATTCTAAACTCCTTGCATTCAAGGCTCTGGCTGCTACAGATGCCATGCCCCCTCTGACCAGACTGAGCTGACTAGAGTCCGTTTCCCATTTGCCTAGTCAACATCCCTCATCCATCAGGTGTCTCCACACTTCCTCCAGGAAGCCCTCCCTGACATCCTCTGGCCCCCCATAGCCCCACGTGCTGCTCCCCACAGCTCTGATTCCTGCTGTAGTTCAGCGTCTGCCCTGCCAGAATGTGAATAGCATGAAGACAGGCGTCATGTCTGTCTTAGTCCGTGCTGCCATCCCTGGGCCCATCCTAGTGTGGACACACCAACAGACGGTCCTCACCAGGGCATCTCCCCTCTAGAGCTGGGTGGTTTTAACTTGCTAATAATTACAGCATTAACAGCTGTGATAATAATTAGCTCACGTCCTGGGCTGTCGTACACACGCTGTAATAATTAAGTCTGTTCTGTGCTGTTTTACACCTTCTGTTCCATAACTCACCTGACCCAGTCCCCACTCCATCCCTCCTTGAGGCCCCTCCCTCCGCTGGCCTTCAGGTTGGCACCTCCAAGCCTACCCTCCACCACCCCCATGCCAGCCACTGGGGTGAATGTCTGGCTTCCAAGCCCAGCTGTGGCCTGGCCTGGCTGCTCACATACCTCTGTCCCCACAGGAGGCGTTGCCCATGGCCCCCGAGGCCCCACGAGTTACTACTACATGTTGCCCATGAAAGTGCGGGTGCGCGGCCTCAAGGTGGCGCTGACCGTCAAGCTGATGCAGGTGCAGGCTGCGCCCCGACCCAGCTGTGACCCACAGGGCCCTGTAGCCTGGGGAGTGGGGCTCAGACCGTCCTGTCCCTCCCACTAGGATGACCTGCACATCGTGGATTCCCTGGAGCTGCCGACCCCAGACCCCCAATACCTGACGGAGCTGGCCCAGTACCGCCACTGGGGGGACTCTGTGCTCCTCGTGGACTTGTAAGGGTTCAGGGCAGCGTGGGGAGGGGCACAGGGCACTGCTCTCTGCAAGACTCACCTCGGCTCCCATTACAGAGCCCATGAGGAGATGCCGCAGAACATGGTGTCAGCCGCCTCCAAGCTGAAGACCTTCAACCTGATCCCAGCTGTTGGTGAGCCACCCCCAGGGCCCCAGGTGCACATGCAGGCAGGATGGGCAGGGACAGCAGCTGAGTCGCTTCATCTACCCGCCACCCTCAGCATCAGGGAGCACCCCTCTGTTCCTCTGCTTCCCCAAACCTACGCCTGGGGAAAGTATCTTTCCTAAGAAATGCTCTGAGGACGCCACACGTCACTGACATCTGAGAACACTCTTGGCTCAGTGCCAGGTGCAGCGTGCGTGCTCGGCTGGCCGGCTGTTCTCACTCTGAGAGCTGGTGAGGCAGGAGCGGGGCAGGCCCTGGTGGCCAGTCTGTTCTGAGCAGGTGACACTCGTCAACCCCTTGACCTGCCCCAGACCTCCTCTGGATCTGCTGCCCCACGGGTCCAGCTGCCTCCTGAGCAGCTGCACACAGGAGTCGTCAGGCGTCTCAGACACGGCCCGTGCTAGTACGGACCCCCCAAGCCACCACTTCCACGGCATTCCTCATCTCCACACGCACGAGTCCTTCCTGCCAGTGGCTCAGGTCTGAAGCCACCCCATCCTCCTCCACTCCTTGTCTTGACCCCGCCTATCGGTGCTGCCTTTAGACAAATCCAGAATCCGACCACTCCTCACCAGCCTACTCCCAGGTTCCGGTTCTCTACCCCCACAGCAGCCACAGGGCACCTGAGTCAGGGTACGTCCCTCCTCTGCTCAGAACCCTCTGTCGCTCCCACCTCACTCGGGACAAAAGCCCAAATCCTTGCTGGTACTCGGGGGACCTGTACCATCTGCCCACCCCTCCTCACCCTGTCTGCTGCACTCTGCCCTCACCCACCCTGCTCCTGCCACACCGGCCTCCCTCTGGCGTACCATGCGTACCATGCCATGCTTACTGTGTGTCTCCTTCAGCTGGAATGCAGGGCGGAGATCCCGGCCAAGCTCAGCAGATCCTGAAAGGCAGGGGTGGGGGTCTCAGCTAATCAGCCGTTGATGAGCTAGGACAGTCCCTTGCCCGGGGGCTTACCGGTTGTGAGTGGCTGAGCCAGGATGTGAACTCAGGCTGCAGGGCTCCTAAACCCACACTTTGAACCACGAGACCAGGAGGGGCGCTTTCCTGGGCTGGGTCAGGTCGGGGGAGGAGGCACCCACCTCACCTTCAACGCCCCTCGGCCCGCCCCCAGGCCTGAACGTGTACAGCATGCTCAAGCACCAGACCCTGGTCCTGACCCTGCGCACCATCGCCTTCCTGGAGGAGAAGCTGCTGTGGCACGACTCGCGCTACACGGCGCTCTACCCCTTCCGCCTGCCCTACCGTGACTTCCCCTGAGCCCCGCCTGGCCAGCTGGGCCGATGGCCACCCTCTCTCTGTACCTCTCCCATGCCAGGCGCCTGCTCTGAGCCAGGCGAGGCAGTCCCGGGGCACTTGGGATTCTGGTACCAGCCTGTGAGGGAGGCCCCTCCTCGTTAGGAAGCCGGAGCAGAACAAGCAGGGTGGAGTGGCTCTGCGGAGGGCTCCAGCCAGCTCCGGCTCTCTGTCTCCCTTTTCTCTTACATAAATTTTATATTTTAATCAAAGAGTTGAGGAAAATAGAAAATGGTTTACTGCCGTTTTGCTTATTGAGAATAATTGTATTTGGCGGGTCGGGTTCCTTGGTTCCGGGCACTGCCAGGTCTTTACTTCTTCAGGGACCTTGCAGGCTCATTTGAAAGTACCATCAGGGCTGTGCTTATACATTACCCAGAATTAACTCACACGGGTGAGTCACTGACTGGGTGCGCACACAGGAGCTTGAGTGCCGATGGTTCCCAGGAAATGACACCTGGCCTGTCCCCCTGACCACTCATCCTACACCCTGATCCCAGAGAGGATCTGTGGTCCTTTCTGTACAGCCCTTCGTTTGGACAATGTGGGCTCACTACGATTTCCCCTAAGATCAGAAAAGCCAGTGGGTCACAATATATGAGCTAATAAATACGCTTTTAAAAACACTTAAACCAGTACCCTGATTCTTCAGTCTACTGTTGTTTGCTTCCCAGTTAATTTTTTAAATAATCATCACACAGATACAATGTGGTTACTTGTTTTGAAGCGGTCGTTAGTGCCCTCCTGCGTGTGTGGGCCCAGCCAGACCAGGTCTAACAGCACCCTGTCTGCCAGGCTCCCCTTGCTGCAAACATCTCTGGAATGCCTCTCAAGTGCCTCCAGAGCTTACACACATTATTTGGAAATCCTCAGTGGACACAAACTTGGATCCTTAAAGCATCAGATTTGACGAAGTGAAGAATGAAAAAGCCACTTGGGGCCACCCAATAAGTCGGATGATGAGGCTGGGCAGGAAATGCCACTTGGGCTGAAGCTGAGAGCTTTTCCCGGCTTCAGGTGTGTCTCTTGCCCAGCCCCTGGGAGCTCCAGGACCTAGAGCGATGCAGCCCAGCCAAGGATGCAGACAGTCCTAAGCAGCGGAAAAGTGCGGCTCAGCAACAAGGAAACTGGAGAAGGCCAGCCCCTGCCCCCATGGGTTTTGGCAGGAAATGGTTGAGAACCTGGGCCCTAGGCTAGAACCTCCCAGCCAGATCAAGGATAGAAAAGGCATCCCCCCCAAAAAAAAACCAAACTCATTGCCTTCGAGGTGGACCCAACTCATGGCAACCCAAGGCGGTATCACTACAGAAGTGGATTGCCCAACCTTCCTTCCGAGGAGTGGCTGGTGGGTTTGAACCGCCAGCCTTCTGGTTAGCAGTCAAATGCCTTGGGCACTGCCCCACCAGAGCTCCAAGCAGTACCTGGGTGGTGCAGATATTAACGTGCTCCGTGGCTAACCAAAAGGTTGGAAGTTCAAGTCTACCTAGAGGCAGGCACCTGGGAAGAAAGGCCTGACAATCTTACTTCAGAAGCAGCTCAACCGCTGAAAACAGTGGGGTACCACTCCACTCTGATACACAGGGGGCTGCCATGAGCTGGGGTTGACTAGGTGGCGGCTGGTCCTGGCCCGGTATTGGAAAGATGAGACAAGATCACCGCGAGAACTGTGGGATCCTTCAAGCGTGCGCCCCACTGTTGGCTCTCTTTGGAACTCTCTAGAATAACAGTATTTTTAAGGTTGGAGGAGTAAGAAAGGGATGGGTGAAGACACTTCAGGGGAGCCGTTGCTTCCTGCATGTCCCAATCCCATGCTCTGGGAGAAAGACCTAACCTGGGGCCCAGAGAGAGGGGGACTTCTGACCTCCGAAGGGACCTTGAAGGCACAGCACCCCGTCCTCAGGCTGGCTGTTGCCCAAGAAAGCTAACACAGGCTGAGGAAGCTACGATCTGAGTCCCAGGAAACCAGAGGCAGGAGGTGGGTTGCCCTGATGGGGGATCCAAGGTGTCTGTTTATTGGGGTTCAGCCTGCATATCCACAACAGTCAGGAAGCCCGCACAGGGGGCGGAAGGTCTCTGCAGAAAGACTAGCTGGTGGGCCCAGACCCTAGGGACCGAGGGAGGAGCCACCACCCAGATCAAATGTGTCCCCACTGTAGCAAGGGGGTCTACAAGAGAGGGGACCCTGAAGAGCTCCCAAAACACCCAAGGAGCAGCTTCAGGTACTCCCAGAAAACACCTGAGGTGCCACTTTAACCTCCTGCCTGTCACCCAGAGTGTGAAGCCACCAGCCAAGGAGGAGCTGCCCGTCCTCTTCCCATCCTCTGTGCACATGCTGGCCCCGGCAGGAGGGACCAGAGGCCAGTGGAAAGGGGCCAGGGAGAGTGAGCAGCCCTCCTTCCCCACCCAGGCCTCTATCCAGGAGAGGCCTGAGCCCATCCAACACACGTCAAGCTCAAAGACTTAAACTTGACGCTGCCCTGACTTCTGGGTCTGTCGGCTTTCTCAGCCAGGGGCAGGGCAAGTTTCCACCACAGAATTAGCTTTCAGGGGGTGGAGAAAGAAGCCAGGCTGGTTTGGGTCGAAATCCACAGGTCACGAATTTCACTGTTTGCCCTAGGGCTGTCAGGAGGAATTATGATCCTTGTATGAGCAAGATCTGTGGGAACACGGAGGCGGAAGTGTGTATTTCTCCTAGAGTGAGTTGGGAGTGAGATTCTCAAGCTGAATTCCAAAGAAACAGACCAACAGTAACCACCAAGTTTGTTTTCACTGAGCCGTGCCAAGCACTATGTATGAATCAGAAAAATCCCACAGGTAGAATTATCCCATGCTTGCTTGCTTGATTTTTTTTTTTAATTGTGGTAAATATATACATAACACCAAAAGCAAAAAACAAACTCACTGCTGTTGAGTCAATTCCGACTCACAGCGACCCCTCCTTGGGTTTCCGAGATGATACGGAAGTAGATTGCCCAGTCTTCCTTCCAAGGAGTGGCTGGTGGGTTTGAACCGCCAGCCTTCTGGTTAGCAGTCAAATGCCTTAGGCACTACGCCACCAGAGCTCCCATACATAACATAGGATTAGCCGATTCAACGATTTTTATATGCTTGATTCAGTGACACTGATTATGTTCATCAAGTTGTGCAACCTTTACCACTACACACTTTCCCCAGCTATTCCACCACCATTAACAACAGCTCAGCACCCCCAAGCAACAAGTCTCCCTTTCCCTCTACCTCCCACCCCTGGTAACCACGAACAAGCTTTGGTCTCCATGCATCTGCCATATCCTAGAAGTGGATTCATACAGTATGAGACTGACTGACTTCACTCTATGTGGGGCACATGTCAGGACTTCATTTCTCTTTACGGCCAAGTAATATTCCACTGGACGCACAGACCACATTGTGTGTATGCTGGACATTTCAACGGCTTCCGCCTCTTGGCTAGGGTGAACAGTGCACACCAGTGGACAGGTTTCTGTTCGCCTCCCTGCTTTCAGTTCTTTGGGGTTGATTCCTAGGAGTGGCATTGCGGGGTGCTCTGGCAGTTCTCTGTTTAACTTTTTGAGGCAGTGGTAGAACTCTCACCTTCCACACAGGAGACCCTGGTTTGATTCCCAGCCAATGCCCTGCAGGCACAGCCCCCCCCCCAGTCTGTCCTTGGAGGCTTGCGTGTTGCTAGGATGCTGGACAGGTTTCAGCAGAGCTGTCAGACCAAAGCAGACTAGGAAGACAGGCCTCCCTCCCAGAACCAGCCAATGAAAGCCCTGTGCATTCCAATGGTCCAGCCCACAGTCATTGATGGGGGTGGTGCAGGACTGGGGAGTGTTTTGCTCTGTTATATACAGGGTCACTGTGGGGTGCTATGAGTCCAGACAGCCTGACAGCACATCACAACATATTTATGCACATGTGAAGGGTCAGGTAGTTGATGCCTTTAGAAGCAGCCCTTGACCAACGAGGGACAGTATTTGAGGCAGGTCTACATAGCCTCCTAAAGCTCCCCAGTGGTTCTGAACCCCAGTTGCCCAAAGGGAAAGTCTGCTAATTAGCTCATCTTTACTGGCCCCCTTCCCTTGCTCATTGCTCCATCCCCACCCCACCCCCATTCTTCCAGGGATCACCTCTGAGATAAACTACCTGCATTCCCAGCCTTGTCCCAGAGTCTGCTTTTGAGAGGAACCCAAGCTAAAACACAACTGGTCAGTAACAAAGCCTGTGTTTGAACCCCAATCTGATCAAAGCTTGTGTCAAACCTTTTTCCATCCCAACCCTGCCTCCCAACGGCATGTGGGTAAAATCCAACGGGAAAAGCAAAAGCAAGGGACAGTCCGGGCTGGAGGAACAGCATGTGCAGAATGCTCAGAGGCAAGAGAAGTTAATTCATTCAACAAATATGTCTGGATTATTGGCCTATAAAGGCCAGACACTGAGCAGGCACTGGGGCTGGCAGGGTCACTGGCCTCCTGAAGCTCACAGAAATGGAGGCAATGGGCAATCAAGTAATCCAAAGAACTGCAGCAAGTAATGAGTTTATCATGAAAACAAATTAGGGCAAGAGACAAGGAGTGACCAAGGTGGGGCCCAAGGATGGAGGAGAATCCAGCAAGGCTCAGGCCACAGACAGGAGGGGCTGGCCATGTCAGGGATAAAGGGAAGAGCATCCCAGGCTGAGAGACCTGCAAGGTTACCACACCAGAGCTCAGAGTGTGCAGAGGGCAGGCATAATGCCATACATAGGGGGTTGGATGCTACTGCCCCAAGTCTTCAGCCTCTGGTCTGCTGTGGGTCCTTTCCTTGACCTACCCAAGACTTTCTGGCACCCTGGAGGAAGCCCAGCCCTTCCCGGCGGCAGCAGCGAACGGCTAGGGAACATCTACTTCCCTTTTCCACAAGGCAATGCATGTTCCTCCTGCCAGCCTGCCCTCCATTACCACCCCATCCTCATGTCAGGCAATGGC